ATCTTTTTGTAACTCACCCAATCTTTTTTGGGCTAGTATCTGCCCCTTTATCTTTTCAATGCGTTCCTTTTCTAATTGATTCATCTTTATTACTTAGCAAATAAAGTTTTGCCTTAAAGTAAATGTTTTTGCCTTAAAGTAAATGTTTTTGCCTTAAAGTAAATATTTTTTGCCTTAAAGCAAATATTTTCACCTTAAATAAAGATATGATTCGAATAAAGAATTACACGCAACCTGAAGAGTTTGCATATGCTGATCAGCATCCTTTGCTACCCAAACATCCCTTCAGACTTTTAATCACCGGACCTTCAGGGTGTGGTAAGACAAACTTGCTTCTTAACTTCATCTATGATTGGTTGAAGTTTGACAATCTCTACGTATGTGCTAAAGACATCTTTGAGCCCAAGTATTCATCTCTACAAGAAACATACACGCAGTTTAATGATATAGAGGAAGATGATATTCTTAGCCTTAAAAAAGTTAAGAAGGTTGATAAAGAAAAAGTTTTAGAAATGTTTCACAAATTCAAGAAGGAAACATTATTCACGTCAGAGTTGGGCGATTTTATAACAGTAGATGAACTTGATCCTAACGTTAAGAATCTAGTTGTATTCGATGACTGCGTGACAGAAAAGAAGCAAAAAGTCATAGAGGACCTATTCATAAGAGGTAGGAAGAAAAATGCGTCCATCATCTATATATCTCAATCATATTACTCAACACCCATCAACATACGCAAGAACTGTAACTACTTTATCTTCTTTAGACTCCAACCAAGAGAGGTTAAACAAATCCTGAGGGAAATCGATGGTAGTCTCACCAGCGAGGAGTTCGATAGTATGTACAAAAAGTGTGTCACGAAACCTCATGATTTTTTCATGCTTGATTTAGTTAACCCTGAAATGAGGTATAGGAAATGTTTTTCTTCTTTAAATAAAACATGGAACAAAAATTAGAGTCATGCTTGTACGCATACAGAAAAAGCTACAAATTCTACAGTGATGTTAGTCTGTCTCTGACAATTGCGAAGTTCTTGTTTGGTACTTCGAGTTTGACAGCTTTCGCTCTGCTTCCCTTAGCATCCTTGAGCATCGTGGCCAGTGTCATAGAGATTATTGATAAATCCTTGCATGTCGCAGAAAGGAAAGAAGAATACAAGTTTGCCTACAAGTTTTATAAGTCTTTACTAAATTGCTTGAGAGCAAAGACTATTTCGGAGGAGGAAGCTTTGATTAAAGAGCAAGAATTTATTAAGGACTTGAAGTACTTCCCCATGGAAAAATATTTAAAGGAGAAAGGTTTGAACGGGTACGAAAAATAATTTTCTATTCTTAATAAATGAGCAAACAAGATAGAAAGATTAAAGGTGGAGATTTAGTCGGTTGGATGCAAGATAAGCTCAATCCACCAGAAATGCATCTTCCTGGTTATCAGTACTGTGGACCTTTTACAAAGCTTTCTAAAAGATTGACTAGAGGGGATCCAGGAGTTAACAGAGTAGATAAAGCATGTAAGAAGCATGACATAGCATACAGTCAAACAAAAGACACTAGACAGAGACATGTTGCAGATGAAGAGCTTTTAAAGGATTTAGATGCCATTGAAAACCCAAACAGCGGATTTTATCCACTCGGAGAAAAACAAGCTAGGGCTATCATCCGACCTATCATAAAAACCAAAAGAGTTTTTGGACTAGGTGCTATTGTGACATATTGCTTGATTTGTAAAAAGAAGACAGGTACACTAAATGTTGAAAATTCGGTAACAAGCAACGGAAGGCCTATTATGAAAGGAAAGTGTGAAAAGTGTGGATCAAGGAAAAGTTCTTTTTTAAAGTTGACGGGGTAACTCAGAACACCCCTAGACTGAGAGATGTGTGTACTATGATCCTGAAACTGGATATTGCGGCATCAAGGAGCTTCAGAGGAAGGTGCATGTTCCTAGAAAGGATATCGAAGAGTTCTTACACCAGCAAGATGTTTATACCAAACACAAACCACTTATCCGTAAATTCAAAAGAAGGAGAACTTACGTATCACACATTGACGACCAATGGCAAGCAGACTTGCTATTTTTAAAACCATTATCAAGTTCTAATGATGGTAACAACTACTTACTAACAGTCATAGACATTTTTAGCAAATATGCTTGGGCTATACCAGTTCGCAGAAAAACGGGAGAAGAAGTTACTATAGCGTTTAAAAAGATCTTTAAGGAAAGAATTCCTCAAAAAATTCAGACAGACAAGGGGACCGAGTTCATTAACAAAGAGACGCAACAACTGTTTAAAGAGAATAATATTCACTGGTTTACTACTGAAAATGTCGAAATCAAGTGCTCCATAGTGGAAAGGTTCAACAGAACTTTAAACGGTAAAATTAGAAAATATTTAGCAGCAAACAATACAAAAAGATACATAGATGTATTGAGTCAGTTAGTAAAAAATTATAACAATTCCTACCACAGAAGTATCAAAATGACACCTGTTGAAGCCAGTCTAAAAGAAAACAGTGGTGATGTGTATCACAATTTGTTTAAAGAAAAGGTCATACATAAACCTAAATACCAAGTAGGAGATAAAGTAAGAATATCAATATATAAGTCTGCCTTCAGAAGAGGTTATCAAGCAACTTTTACAGAAGAAATATTTGTCATTTCTGAAGTATTAGAAACTGATCCAATCACTTATAGAGTTCAGGATTTAAATAATGAAGAGGTTAAAGGTACTTTTTATGAAAATGAATTGGTAAAGTATGATAAGAAAGACAACGTATATAAGATTGAAAAAGTCATCAAAAAGAAAGGGGACAAATATCTAGTAAAATGGTTAGGCTATCCTGAGACTAGCTGGATTGATAAGAAGGATTTATTTAGTTTATTTTTAATAGCCGACGAAAGCTATTAAAAATTATAATTCACTCATTGGGGTCATCGCACCCATATTTGTGCTCCAATTTAATGCATCGAAGATGGTTCTGCAGATTTCTTCATTCTGAGCTAGCGTTGTCATCAGTTTAGGTAGCTTAAGTGGGACCTCATAACCACCTCTTTTCCGTAACATTTGGTATAAAATATAGTCTTTGCTAATTAAGTTCTTACGCTTCGGATACAACTCTATGTATTTAGAGATAAAAGATGACAAATCAATCATAAGCTCTTCTTCGAAAGGAAAGTTATACTTACTTATCCATTTATAAAGATTTGTCATTCTGCTTTTCATTCTAGCTGTCTGCGCCTTTTCGAAATATAAATCTTCTAATTTGATAGGGGGTTTATTTGGATTATATCTCAGTTCTTCACCACATGCTTGGCAATTGTACCAGTCATCACCAATTACATATTTGTGTTCACACTCTTTAGTTTTCAAGTCTGAAGAAACTTCTGTGTCTGGACTAAACAATCTCATTATTTCCTCCATTTCTTCCGTCATGTCCATATTTATTTTAATAAGTCTTCCTTTTAACCCCTTTTAAATTGATTGATAATGTTGTTGTCATGTCTATACATAAGTGCATGAGGTGCAAAAATCAAAAAGTCTTGGTGCTGCCAGTTCTGGAGGCGGATCTCTATTGGCGGAGTTCGAAGAGGCATGAGGGATTCAGGACAGCAGTTGGGATAGGACCAGTTGGTGATACCCTTGAAATGTTCAGTACGTAGCCGAGCTATTATAGATCGGGAGAATCTCTATTGGCGGAGTTCGAAGAGGCATGAGGGATTCAGGACAGCAGTTGGGATAGGACCAGTTGGTGATACCCTTGAAATGTTCAGTACGTAGCCGAGCTATTATAGAGGAGAGGTTTCTTGGGCGGATCTCTATTGGCGGAGTTCGAAGAGGCATGAGGGATTCAGGACAGCAGTTGGGATAGGACCAGTTGGTGATACCCTTGAAATGTTCAGTACGTAGCCGAGCTATTATAGAGGAGAGGTTTCTTGGGCGGATCTCTATTGGCGGAGTTCGAAGAGGCATGAGGGATTCAGGACAGCAGTTGGGATAGGACCAGTTGGTGATACCCTTGAAATGTTCAGTACGTAGCTATTATAGAGGAGAGGTTTCTTGGGCGGATCTCTATTGGCGGAGTTCGAAGAGGCATGAGGGATTCAGGACAGCAGTTGGGATAGGACCAGTTGGTGATACCCTTGAAATGTTCAGTACGTAGCCGAGCTATTATAGAGGAGAGGTTTCTTGGGCGGATCTCTATTGGCGGAGTTCGAGAGGCATGAGGGATTCAGGACAGCAGTTGGGATAGGACCAGTTGGTGATACCCTTGAAATGTTCAGTACGTAGCCGAGCTATTATAGAGGAGAGGTTTCTTGGGGGCCTTACCAAAATGCTGATCCTTCGCCTGGCGTCTGTACAGGTGACTTTTGAGGTTGCTCTTTATCGCATAGTGACCGTGAGCCAAGGTATGGATACCATCTGGTAATATGTGCCGCTTGTCATCATCTCCTGAAAGGGCAATCTTATTTACTTGTATGGAATGAATATTATGTTTTGTGCTTCTAATGAGATTCATAGATCTGTACTGTTTTGATGTGAGAATAGACAGTTTTTGTAATCCTCGAAAGTAATTCTATTTTTCACTACACATTTCTTAATACCTTTTGATTTTTTAACTAAGTCTTTTTCAGTTTTACAGGCATACATCTTAGATATTAAGCCAACGTACTCTTCCAAGATCCCCCCTGCATTTTCATCCTTCATCTTCCCCAAAACCTTTTTATTAACTCGCGGCATTCCATACCTATTATCCTCCGGATAATCAAACGTGTCAAAATGTTCAAGCATTCCTTTCATATCTTCATAGAAATCATCAGTTTTTATATCATAGATGAAACTATCCGTATCCATGTACACAACAGTATAATGTTTTTCCCATATTTAGGTGCCATCACATTATAGTGGAAGTCGTACATTAAAGTTTTGGATAAATCTAAGATACTCATTCCAACATAGATAGGTTTATCAAAGAGTACTGCAGTTTTGTGCATATGTATAGCGGCTAAATTTTCTTCAAATATGGTTCTTCCTTTAAAATTTGGTTTAGCAATAAGTTTTTCGGCTTTCTCCGCATCACACAGCACAGTTTGATATCAAGCCTTTTTCTAATATTTTCCATTGTCTTACCAAACACAGAGTTGTTCATGAGTTTATAGAAATCTTTTTCAAAGTCATTAGTTGCTTTAGTTCTCATTTCAGTGTTCAAGTCGATATATGTCTTCAGCCAAGGTGCTTGCTTATACTCTAATACCCTGTGTACTTTCTTCAATTTTAAGCCCATTTGTAAAAATTGTTTCAAACCCCTGTAATGAACCACATAATGATCTTTGTCATATAAGGTTGTTAGTAATTTTGTATGTTTTGAGCCATCAGGAACTCTGTTCTCAGCTCCTAGTGGGAGGTCTGAATGGAGATCATGCAAATATTCAGGATATTCCAAGTCGCATTCTAAGATATAACCCACATCTGAATCGTCGGGGATCGCTGTTACATCTATATCGGTATCCCCCCACTTGAAGCCGCCATATGGTAGAAATTGGCTCATTGCCCATCCATACAAGTTATTGGCATCTAGGTAGATTAAATAATTAGATTCTTTACTTCTGTCATAGTCTTTCATATATTTATTATTAGCTTTCCCATACCTATTACAACACTGAGAAATCCCACCTCTGGTTCCTTTTTCTAACATTAAAATCATGTTATAATCAGTCAATAATTCTAATTCCTTTCCAGTGGTTTTTAACATAGCATCCCAAGAGAGACCGGGTGCAGTGAAGTACCATGCAGGATCCAATTTGTAAGTCCTTATGCAGACATCTCTAAAATGTTCCATAATATCAGCTAAGATCAGTACATCAGTCTTCACATACAAATCAGAATACTCACCTAAATTTTTAATGTTGAAGGTCTTCCATACTGTTTTGGCATGTGCATAGTCCTCGTGTGATATATCCGACTCAGTCATTTTTTTGTTGTAAAATTCTTTTTTGTTGGGTAGTCGTGTTTCGTCACATTTATCCCACGAGTCCATATAATCATACGGATACACGCCTTTTCTGGTAACGAGGTCCAATTTGTCCTTGGGAAAGAATTTGGCTGTTTCTCTGAATTCTTTCACATTTTTGGCTAAACTATCAATGCTGCTAGCCATGAACTTAAAAGAATCCAGAAACCTCAACTTTATTCCGGGTAGCTTGACCTTTTTACCATCACCTGCATCTACCCATTCCGCTCCAACCTCTTTGCTGAATGAAATGTATTTTTCCTCAGTGTTTGGAATGACATCGATATTCCCATTATCACCACCTAGCTCTTTTATGAATAAATGAGAATCGTACCCAGATAAGTTGTGAATGAAGACAGGAATGAGGGAAGGGTATTGGTACATTAAGTTACATAATTTATGAGCTGGCCCTCTATAGTTTGATTCATGTTTGGATGGATCGAGTAAATGGTCATGATCCATTACTTTTTGGAAGTCCTCAGAGTCTTTCGGCGAATATGGTGATGGTACTTCTTTGATGTTAAACCCGCAGATATGACATATATGGGTTCTCTTGAAATGCCTGTCATCTTCATCAGTAATTTTGATTGGGTGCTTCTTATCATAAATTTTCTTTATCTCTAAGGCCTCAGCTTTCAACGTTTCGTAAAATACTTTAGTTGCATTTGGACCTCTATATGTGATAGGCGGTTTGTAGTCTCCGTGCTTATATTTAATGTAAAGTGAGAAACTCATGGGTTCATGTTTTTGGTACTTCTGCATGTAAGAGCTCTTGGGATCTGGCTGACATGTATCTATCTTAGTTGTTAAACTTTCAAAATCTGCATACATTACAAAAGGTGCTCGTAGCGATTTATGGTAATGTTTGAACTTTAATTTTGAATCTTTTTCAGGCATTACTATTTTAACAGCCTGATTTTTCTTACAATCCTTTTCATGCGTTTGAAGATCTTCCTCAGAGTGAAAAAATAACAGGCACCTTTCACATGGGTATACTCTTCCATTATGCTTGGTTAATTGCCCACATATTAATTTGGACATGTCTTTTATCCAACAGTAATGACTGTTCCCTTTCTCGTTTCTTATGTAAAGTAAATTGACATGCTTATCTACTTTATGCTTAGTTATTCTTAAGGGGTATATGTTAGTCTTTTCATCGTATGAGTATATGTTCACTGATATGTTATTCAATTTTTCGAACCTTTCGAGTACTCTGTCTTCCATCTTTACTGGGTATTCAATGCCTTCGAACTTTAGCTCATTTTCATATGGCTTATATTTGGTGACTCTTTGGGCATCTTTTTCTGCTGGATGTAGTGCAGACAGTATCGCCCATTTAAAACACTCATTATCATTCTCATTTTTTACGTTTATGACTGCTTTTTTAGCTTTAATCACTTTTGACAAATCAATGTAGGATGATCCTCTCAGTGGGGTGTACTTATTGATCCTCACCTCAAGACTTTTGATTCTAGCAAGCGTCCAACCTGAACCCCTTGCAACAAACTCCTCCATCTCCGTCAATAATTTTTGGATAACTGATCTGTAATAAGCTACCAAATCAGTTGATTCTAAGATGACTTCATTTTTTGTTTTGAAGTTTTTCTCCATTTCTGTCATCGTTTCATCTTTCCCTTTTTCATAGTCACAGAGAAATTGGAAATTAACCTTCAAGCCATGCAGCCTCTTCAGATGTTTTGTAATAAGACCCCGGACCAGTGATGAAACATCGTTCAAGAAGTCTTTGGGAAGCATCAGATTGTGCTCATTTTGGACATCATACGTCACCAAACGGTTTTCAAAAGCCGTATCAATTTCATTGGGGGTATATAGCCTTCTCTCTCTCGCGAATCTGAAAACAGGTCGGAATCAAATTCGAAGTGACGGTTGAACAAAACGCTTTCTATGTATGCTTTGATGTCTGCCTTCCTCCGTAGTTTGGAATAGCCTGCGATGCCACGCGATCGACAAAATTCACGTAGTTGGTTAATGGTCATATGATGCAGCCCCTGCATATTGTCAAAATCATCTCTGTGAACCTCCTGGCTGGCCTTCTTAGGCTTATAGTTTTGATGAGCTTTAGTTTGTAAGTGCTTATTTATGCTAGATTCCTTTATTAACTTTCCGCAACACCTGATTTTTAGCTCCCTCTTCTTCTTTCGCTTGATAAACAAGTCATTGTGGAACCTGGAAAAGCCGTTGTGGTATTGAATGAGGGCGATCAGTTCCACCTTTTTAAGTTTCGAGTATCCTCGAATATCATTTTCTCGACAGTAATCTTGTAACTGTCGAACTGTTTTTGATTGAAAATCCATTTTGTCTTTCTATATACTACAAACCTTCTCTTTAAATGCTTTTATTATTCACTAGGTATTATTAATCAATTACCCATTGTCTCTCCTTTGACGCTCTAGAAGCCATACATAATGGTGCACTGATGGTATAAATTAATACCCTCACTAAATATACCATGCCAGTGGATTATGTGGGGGACGAATGTCCCCTTGCAAAAGAAGCATGCGATGAAGAGGAAAAGTGGCGTTTGTAAAAGCGGCGTTTTGGAAAAGTAGTTCGTTTGTAAAAGTGGGTTCGATTTTAATGGAGGGTTGGAGAGCCATCACATTCTAAAAGTGGGTTCGATTTTAATGGAGGGTTGGAGAGCCATCACATTCTAAAAGTGGGTTCGATTTTAATGGAGGGTTTCGCAGTCATTGTTTCGCCCCCAAAGGTCACTGCGCCAGCTCTCTCATTTGTACACTACTAATAATTAAAAACCAGTTAGTGATTAATGATCAGAAATTTAGCAATAAAACCCCAATGATTCTTCAGGCGACGAATACATAGGAAGGGATGTTATCTCAGGCGACGAATAAATAGGAAGGGATTAAACATTCCATTTGCTACTTTATTTCCTGCGACCAGTTTTCACTACGTGGCTGCTATCACACGGCGGTTTGCTTCGGAAGAACAACTGTTTGGAACAATTTTTCTGCTTTGTTACAACAGCCAATCACCATAGATCGCTTTAGGGTTAACACAGGGGAAACTGGTTCCGCATTACAAACAAGCTGATAGCTGATTGGCTGAAAACGAACAACTTGCAATTTTTTTGGAAAGGAAGGAAAAAGTCGCACGTCTTTCTTTCAATAGTAAACTAGTGAAAAAAATTGTCCGAAACAGTTGTTTGAGTGATATGGACCTTAAAGGTTTAGCTTGTTTTGGTATTTGATAAGGGCAAATCACTGAAGAGCTATCTGTTTAAGGGGAGGGATGACTTCATGGAGGGCTCTCTAAATGTAAGTGGCTAATAAGTGGGCTCTTATCAAAGTTACGCGTAGGAAAAAAGATGGAAACACGCATGCACGTGATCTGGAACGAGCCCAGATCAAGTATTTGAGCCAGTGCTCAGCGAGTTGGTAGGCTCCCAATGCGCTGAGAAGAACATCCGATTAAATGACGTTTTTATAAAATTTATATCCGTTTGACGTTATTAGATAATAAAAAAACATTGTTTCTGACACATCTACATTTCAAAATCTGTTTGAACATAGTTAATATAGTATTTCATAAACATCGCTGTAAGTTTCTTCGTCTGTTTTTCCAAACAAAACAAAAATTTTACGTCTTTCGGCGATAAATGAAAAAATAATTACCATTCTATATTTAACATTTTCATATCTGATATATATCATCTAGAATTCAGAAACTGTAAAACCTTCGGTACTATTCGGTTTCGAGAGCCGTAAAAAATCGCCAAACTTTTATTGACGCCAATGCTGCAAAAAGTAATTGCGGCAACCCTAACGCAAGAAAGGGAGTAAAATAGTAAATAACTATCTAATATTGATGCTTTAATTTAGATGAAAGGTTAAGTTCATATAATATTTCGCTACCGAGTTATCGCTAAAGCATAATGTCATCTCGTTGGTTGTTCAAACATAATTTTCTATAATGAATGATGCCTTTTCTTCGAAAACATTCTCGGTAAAGTGCAGAATCGCCCACTTATTTGTTTGCCGCTTTTTACAAGGGAAAAAACAATTGGATTTTTGTCAATTTTCTTTTACTTTTTAAGTGACAATAGGTCGATGTGTACATAGATAAAATCAGGGGTGTGCGCAGTGCCATTTTTGTGCAATTCTTGGATTTTTTTAAGTGAAAAAAGTCGATGTGTACATGGATACCGAGTATGTGCAATTCTTAAAAACACGTCAAGCAGTGGGTGATTCTGCACTTTACCCAAAATTCTATCGCAGACTTTTCATCATGGGCAATTTCCAAATTATTATACCCATAGATTATCAAAAAAAGGAATTAAAAATTAAACTAGTATTTCAAGAAATATAGAACTATATAACTTATGCAATCTGAAATCAGCGCGTACGCTAGGTTTGGCACGCTGTTAAATGGGCGTGTTTGCTAGATTTGGGGCTTTCGCGCATACATTTTCGCTGGAATTTTTTTTACTGCCCTCAAAACCGAATAGTACCAAACCTTCAAATTCTAAGACTCAAAATTCTTACTGAAACTTCTAGTAAACAATTTATTGCATATTTGTAACGTCACTTCAATGCTTACTCTGCAATTCTCTTTGACTTTAATAATCAGAGGAATCACTTACTCTGTGAAATACACCAAACTGCACTTTTTATAAGCGCTGATATACCTTCAGACTAGATATAAAAACATATTCAGAGCTCACAGTATCCCAAGCCTTCAATTATCGTATTTTTCTTTTCCAAGACCTGATTACACTTGTTCTCTTCCCAGTTCTCTATTCAGAGATTTTGGGTTAGAACATAATTTGCTTTTAATTATTACTGTTTAACAAAAACATTTCTATGGAAAATCTTAGTAAATGGAAATAAGCATACCCCGAAGAGATTAGAGATTTATTCTAAGAAGTTTCAAATTGTCTCGCATTTTAGAGACATTCGTTTTTAACGCGTTTCACATGTGTTATAAATGTGTTCTGAATACATCAATGCATACAAATGACACAATAATTGCATATGCAAACGCTTTGGAAGCAGGTGCTTTCAGAAGTTTAAAGCCAATGTGAAAACAGTTTGACGTTAATAGCTGGTGTTTTCAGTTCGATATCTATTGTAACAGAATGTTTAAATAAATAGCATTGCCAACTTGGCACAATGGATACATATGCTATGTAATTTCTTTAAAAGAATGCGTAATATTCTTGTTACGGTTACTGAGTTACTGTTGATACTTCTTAGTTTCTTTTCGTAATATGTTACTGAATTTTTAGTCCAAAGGGGCTTTGTTCCTGAAGGACGATTATTTTCGATTTTCGATTTTGCGTCGAATCACTATAAATGTCCGTTTCACTTTTCTAACCGTTGCCACCAAATGTTAGAGTCCTGCATTATATTTGAAGAAATTAAATAATGAAAAATCTGCACAAATGCATGTATATTTCTCGCATGGTGATAAAACAACGGTACATAGAGCCATCGAAATTTTGAATGACGTAATCCTCCTACGAATATGGGCACGTGGAAGACCAAACTAGAAATCTGGAATTTGTTTAGTTATCGATTTCATATTTTGTAAAACTTCTTAGAATAAATCCCTAATCTCTTCGGGAACATTTAAAACTTCTTAGAATAAATCCCTAATCTCTTCGGGGTATGCTTATTTCCATTTACTAACATTTTCCATGGAAATGCTTTTGTTAAACAGTAATAATTGAAAGCAAATTATATTCTAACCCAAAATCTCTGAATAGAGAACTGGGAAGAGAACAAGTGTAGTCAGGTCTTGGAAAGGGAAAATACGATAATTGAAGGCTTGGGATACTGTGAGCTCTGAACAGACTCAAAGATTAAAAGCGAGCAACGGCGGGGGGGGACCTTTTAATCTCCAGCGGGGCGCGGAACTTGTATCGGAAATTATAAAGATAGGCTCATTTTAAAATTATTTTGCGACATTGCTACTGAACTGAATTTTATGGTTTAAGTGCAAATAACATGATATTTAATAACACACAAAAGGTAACACACAAATCGTTAAAAAAACGCCGCTTTGGACTAATTAAACTCTGGAACCTTTCAGAATTTTTTTTTTTTGGGGGGGGAGAGCTTGTATTTTTATTGAATATTTATCTGCCAGGAAAGTTTCTTAAAAAAGAGCAGCAAAAGAGAGCTTCATTATTTAACACTAATTAAAATTTACAAATTAATAATCATTATATAGCAGATGTTCTCAACCGAGGGTGGGGAGATTTCATAATTTTAGGGACGAATGCGGTCAGACTTTTATTTACTTGTTAAGTATTTAGTTTTAGGTTACGAATATAAATAACTACTTTTGTTCAAGTTTTGGTATTTATCATCATTTTCTACACTTTGTGTTGCTTAAGTTATGAAGCACATTAAAAATTTATCTAAATTTATAAAACATATGTTACCGTGAAACACCGAAGTCTGGAGAATGTTGACTTTCACCGGTGAATATCACCATCCACGTAGTCTCTTGGTGTATGTCCGAAATATTTTCCAACTACTCTTATTTCTGACTTACACCGGTCAATGTCGACATTCACCATGTACTAATGGTGAATGTTGAACATATAACAATATTATATTTTCTTCTCCGTCATT